ACTTGAGGCGGGCGGTTCCTCAAGGGCTGCTGGAAATTTTAACTGTCCGGCTACTTCCAGAGATCCAACTTGGAAGAAACGTCCTAACTAGTAAATAATTGCGGTTATCACTGCATCAGTTTAGTTTAAAGAGCTGACAAACCTCTCTAAACTCAAAGCACAATTAGTCATTAGGGTCTAGTTTTTCAGCACTGTTAAGCAATTTGTAACCCATTCCTTTTAATAGGGTTATGCATTACTTAACCGACACAGATGTCTTGAAAACTGAAACCGCTGGTTATGAAGCAGCAACCTTGTTCATTAGCTTCCATGATAGTCAAATCATCTATAAAACCAGTGTTTAATGGCCAGCCGATGAATAATCAATGTCTTGCTTTTCAACCGAGTGTGAAAGCGAGAATAATCTAATACACCGTCCCCCTGGTAAAACGCGAGGCCTTGGGTTCCGTTTCTATTCAGGGCTGATTTATAACCCAATGGAAACCTGATGTAAACATATGATCAATGAGTCCCATCATTGCTGATAATAACCCCCAACCGGCCCACTCCCTCATCTCAAAAGCCATCCCTTTAGGCTATTAGTTTCGTCCAGCTAATCCTCTCTACTTCTTCTGCCTGCTGCTTTTACCTTGGCCATCCGTTCCGTCCAGCAGACTCAGAAGTAATTTTATACGCAGCAGAGAGCGGGTGGAATTGATTTTTCACTCAGTGCTCAGTTCCCATCTGAATAATTATCAATTTTACTGCCTCATAAAGGGAAGAGTCAAAATTTCAAATCAATTCAAAAGAGCTTCTGAGACTACAGAAACTGTGCATGAGAATAAAGGTCAAAGTTGTCAGTGACCTCGGGAGATGATGTCAGATATTAGTACACTGAGTAGTTGACATCAGAGGCACTCAATATGATATGACTAGTGCTAATGCAAATCATATTTATGCTGACTACTGGAGACCAGCCATTAATATTTAAAAGACTATGTGAAAGCCTGCATTCAAAATAAATATAACGTATTCCGCAGGATCTGAAGTTAATAAAGACAGATCACTGCCTAGTCATATGCTGTGAAGTGAAAGATTACTGCATATTAACAGGCAAAGTATTACATCAAGATTGCCACAAATGCAGCAAAGTCCAGAGCCCGGGTTGCTGTTCTGTCCTTCACGTTCAAATCACTGCACGCCCCGTACAACACTGAGCAATCCGATGTACCCGAATGCTGACTTCATTGCTAGTTTCCATGAAACCCCTATTGGGCAAGTAAAACTTAAGAACCTGTAATATGATGAGGGAATCATCATATTCTGATAACGATGTCCATAATAAACATCATTAATATTCTCACAATATGCTATATACTGCCAAGAATATATTAGCTACCATTAGTTACTTTTCATCTTCAATTAGAACTGTAAACAAATGACAACAAGAATTATCCGTGGTGACTGTATGCCAGGCTTTTTCCAAATGGCAGCATACCTATTAGGGAATCACAAAGATGACCACACCAGTCATTTGCATTTTGTTAATAATTTCCATTTTCCTTAAAAGCCTTCAGACCTGTGAAACACATCTCCTGAAACAGCATCTTTGCAACTGCATTAGGAATCCAGAGATTCTTGTAAATATGCATTTTCAAATAGTTTAATGAGATTCCAAGGGCATGTGGCACAGAGCAAATGTGGAGATACGTAGCTATGAACATCCTGATCTCCCCGTAATGTACTTGGGCTGTGATAAACCTGATGGAGCTGGGAAGGGGAAATATCTCCTAAGCACTGCAGCAGCCACTTCCTTTTCAGAAGCATGAGATTTAATTTCTATTGTGTTTACCTTTAAAACAAAAAAAATCCCTCTGAGTCACCTACTGCAAAATAAGATATTCAAACTCCATAGCATACAGCCATTCAATTTACACATTTCATTACCAAAATGTGTGGTTCAATGCCAGAATTGTTGTTCTTCCTCCTAAAATACTCTAGAGATTTCCTTACCACGTCTGTAGAAATGTATTGATGATCTCACACACCTCTTTTTATGAGCAAAAAACGAAACACCAAGTTTTAAGATACTGTACAGCCAAGTATAGTATCTACATTTTTCAGTATGACCAAAAAAAAAATCTTCCGTCTTTGGTTGTCATGAGAACACAGCTGAAGCTACTCAGGGTTGCACACCAGCGTAGGGAGGTTTCTTCCGTTACTAAATGGCCAATGCTACCCTGACTTTCAGTACCACAAAAGATCAGGAATATTCAGAAATGTAGTAATACCCCACAAGAAAAGACTGCTCATTCACCTGCTGTAGAACTTCTGGGTTCTGCTGCATGAAATGAAGCAATCTCTGTCCATCCTGTGAAATCTCTCTACATCTTAGAGTCTTCTTGCCTTCTTTAGCGAGGTGCTTGAAGAGGTAGGTGACAATGTAGTCTAAACTAGCGCAACAGCTGGAGGAGACAATTGTATCTGTGTAAAAAATGAAAGAGGGTGGAAATTGTTTCCATAAAAGAAAAATTAATAATGACATTTTATAGTACTTGGAGAGCTCAACTTTAACAATCTCTTTGACATTAGGGTAATCAATACATTGACAAGTCTATTTTTTGATACATGAGTGGACTAGCTTTGAAGACTGCTTTTATTAACACACAGCAGTATTAAACCGTTGGTTTTGAGTAACTGGATAGCTCCACGTACTAAAGATCCTACGAACTCCACTGAACTTCATTCACAACAGTATGAATGCAGCCGCCCCTCTGCGTACTGGGAAGCGCAGGATGAGGGTTGGCATTTTACTGGTGTTCAGTTTCACATTCAGAAGGCTCCAGATTCCTGGAAACTAAAAGTCTGTTTTGATCTGCTTACTGAAAAGGCAAGGTTAATCAAATAGAGCCGTCGTCCAGGTTCTTATCAAGTAGTATTTCACAATGTTTCTCTGCCCCAAATAGCTTAGAATCAACGTCGGGTGACAGGCAATGAACAAGGGCCCTTAAAGGCAGTAAAAGGGTGATCACAGAACAGCCGGTTAGTCATTTTGCTTAACAACTAATAATTCAAGTAGGTTGTAGTACATTAAATACGGCTGGCAACAACACAGCAGCAGTCACTACCAAACACTTCATAAATGTCCCCAAAACTGAAAGTCATGACAGCAAAGGAGGATACTGTTGAAAATCAGAAGCAAAAGCCACTTCATATCTTTACTTACTGCTTCTAGAAGTAAGGGAGATTAAAAGCTTAAACCTATTTGCAGAGTAAATACGTCTGTCTGATTTATGTAAGTTATTTTGTTGCTAGGTGTTGCCTGCTGTGCCGCTGCTGCGAAAGAGGATTCTGCTCGCTTCCATCCCTCAGCACGACGGTACCAGCGTACTGGTCCTTGGTTCTCACGCACGCTCCTCTCGCCTTCCTTCGAGAACAGCGGTGCAGCCTTCCTTCCTTCCTTCCTGCCTGACACCAGAGGTACTCCTTGGCCCCAAGACTGGCGGCTGCGACTGAGACTCTCACAAACGTGCCCCGGCTCTGTAATCCCGGTTCCTCCCAGCTCCTGCTCTGTAATCCCGGCCAGAGCCACACGTTTCCACACCCGCCGGTCCCTCACGATTCCAACACCAACTGAAGCTCCTTACACACGTGCAGCGGTTTAACCCGCTGGGTGCAAGGTTTAGCCCTAGCTGATATTCTCTGCAATTTCAAATGTCAGATCCAAGTGAGTGGAGCATTTAGGACTCCATCCTGTTGCCACTGACTTCAGCTAGAACTTGTCTAGGCCTTTTACAGTTCACAGTATTTATTTTAGATGGGCCACTGGAGTAAGGGATGTGTGGGGGTTGCAAAAAGAATTAAACTGTTAAAATGCTCATTCTGAGGGAAAAGGGATTCGAAGGATCCAATTAAATGTACCTTGAATTCTTTAAACTATGCTAATTTGGAGGCCTGCCAACCTTGCAGTGTTCATTTAAACACATCCCTCTAGACACTGAAGTATTTTGATCTGTGTCTGTTTAACTCCTTAAGCTCTGCACTGACACTATTAACCCTTTGCATTCTAAGAACAAACTGTATTTTGCTAAGAGTGTTTTGAAGTAATCACTGAGGAAACATTTACAGGCCAGAAGGATGCAAGTGGTCTCCCAAGACCTGATCTTCGAAAGCAACCAGCTGACTCAGCAGCAGGAGTTAAGAGTGATCCAACAGCTCCAGATGAGCTGGAGGATCTCAACTTTGTCTGGACTGGACCAGTGAGCTTCCTCGGACTGAATTCAACAGGGCAGGATGTTAAGATATGTTGCCGGAACAAAGCTGAGTTCAAAGTTATGAGTCTTGCCAAAGTAAAGACTGCAGAACCTGGCACTCATCGTGTTCTCAACCAAAACAGCCCTGCATATAAACTAGAAACGCAATTCATGGTGGAATTGAATCACCATCAATAACAACGAGTGAGAGATTTGAAAATACATATTTCATAGGAGGGCTCTGCTGTATTTCTAAACCAGTGCTTAACTCTATTTCTTTTTAAATTGAATAATACAAAGTAAATCACTATCATCAGTTTACAAAACAGCAGTAGTTCTAAACATGCTGATACTGTACAAGTAGATATTTTACATTCGACAGTAAGTGATTTTAGCAGAACAGCAGACAGGTCTATGCTATCATTTGCTCATGAGAATCTGATACGAGTGTTAAGAGCTACTTAAATTTGCCCATAACTATATATCAAATATGCTTCCCTATGCTCATTTTTCCTTTTGATTGCAAGGATATAACAGACAGGGAGCGTCAAGCAAACTCCCTTGAATGACTCTTCTGGGCATGTGGAACCTTGTGCTGGAGCAGAATAGTGTTCTCACTAAATCTTAGTGAGACAAGCCAGCCAACTGAATAAATAGAACAACCAAGAGCAACAAGGAGCTACCAGTTCTGTATGGGCAGAAGAAACGGATGGAGAAAACAGAATAAAGATAGAATAATAAAAGAAACTGAGATAAAAGCTTGGGATAACCAGGAAAAATGCAGCGAAACCACATTTCTCATTTCTGGTCGACTCAGCGCTCTCACCTGTGAACCAATTAATCATGTGGATCACAAAGCAAGCAGGCTGTGGTTACAGAAAGTGCCAAAACCAGCTCCACGTGTGTCAGCATGGATCCAGTAACAGTTCAGTCATTTTGTCAAAGAAAACTCTGGACGTGCTAGTGAGGCAGGTGCTGGTGGTGGGCAGGGGACAAGGATGACGACACGGGTCACCACCACATTCAGCTAGTTCTTTTGGTTTCTTCTTCGCCACTATGCATTCATTTCATGTTTTGGGGGCTAACTTTACATGCACTTTTTTAGTATCTGTGTGTTTGTCCTTTATGTATGAAATTCCAGTCAGACATTAGCTCAGGTAACTGGAAGTTGAGCGTGTTTGTTATAATAGGTTATATTATCTCAAAAAAACCAACAAAACCCCCAAACAACCTGAGGATGCCTTTTGGTCTCAACAATACGACAACAGCATACTGAAGGGGAATTATTTTTCAACAGTTTAATGACATTGCTGCATCTCTGCACATTAAAAGATTTTGTTTTGTTTTTCACATAAAGGCAAGGAGAGGGAGTTAAGTGGTATTTTCCCTGTCCATCAGTTGCTTACAGTTCAATACTGGCATTATTTGCCTTCGAGACTAAACCTGGAAAGTAAATGGATTTAGCAATTTAACATCTAAATTAGGCAGCAAGACAGAAAAAATGTTTTACTTTTTTCTCAATGAATAGCATACTATACTATTAATCATATGAGAATTAGAAAAGCTTTGCAGAGATTAGTGACAACATGCCAGGCAGACTACATTAAAGGGCTCTGATCCACTGAGTCAGCTGTGAAAAAGCCAGGTAAACACTTTAGAAGAGAACTATTGGAGTGTTTATCCTCGCAATAAAAGCTTAGATGAGGACTTCCATTATAGCTGATTTACAGCTGGGCGCTTCTGAAGGAATACATATTCTTTCACAGTGTTTATAAAGCGTGGAATCAAGCAAGGTATTTACTCAGCAACAGAATGAACACTCCTCAGAAATAAGGATTTGGGGAATGTTTATCCTACAGCTGACAACAATGAGAGTCTCAAAGGTTTCACGAATGTAAAGGGAGTAGAGAAAAAAGCAAGATGCTTTTTTTTCTGTGAAAGAGAAGTGATCTCCTGGTATTTAATTTTTAAAATAAAAAGACAGCTATTTCATTTTTATAAACATTTCTGAAAATGACTTGTATGTTCTAATCAGTTTAAAACACAATTCCCCCTCAGATGGCTTATAGCCCTGAGCCCTACTATTCTGAGATGTTCTTGTGGCTATGATATAATTCAGTGAAAAAGGCAATGCTTGGATCTACTTACCCATTTTCCAAGGGCAGAAGGATGTATGTGACCAAGTAACACATAAGAAATAAATTTGTATCTCACTGTCTGACAATTGGTAATGCCCCAAATACCAAAATTTTACAGGTGATAAAACATTTAGAAGAATGACTCGTAAGAAAATGCAGTGACAGGTAACTAACTCCTGAAATTATTAAAAATAAATAAATAAATAGCTATAAACTGACCAAACAGTAGTTCATCTGGACATATCATCACAAGACTATGGAAAACTATTAATTTCCCTACAAAAATAAACCTTCTTGAACACAAATGAGGAATCTGAATGCTGACATCAATATCAATGCTTGATACATGCAGCATTAAGAAACATGGTATTAAGGAGAAATAATCACCTTATGACTTTAACATGAAAGGTAAAAAAAAAAAACATTTTCCATCTGACTAATCATGGAAAGAAAGCAGTACTTTTAATGTGCAAGAGAGATTAGGGGGCTGCACAGGCATTTGGACAGAATAAAAAATTGTTTTGGAAAGGTAGAGAATGCAAGCGGAAAATGCAGAAAAAATACCAGTGGGATCCTAGAGGTGGTGGCAGAAACCAAATGGCACCACCCTCCAAGTCTAAAACAGGGTCAACATCAGACAGGTTCCTTAAGACCATGTCCAGTATCTGGAAATATCTCAGAGGATGGAGATTCCACATCCAATCTGGGCAATATGGAAACAGCCAGGTCTTACTGACAGGCAGACAGATTGGGCAAGTCTCAAAGACGGAAAAACTACTTGAGTTTGGAGGAATCAGAGCAAACAAAGGCAAAAATGAACACGCAAGTGGGAATAATAGCTTTTGATGGACTGCATCAAGCCTTCAGTGAAGTCGGGTGAAGTTAAAAAAAATCCTACACACTTTGTTTTAGTCTCATATGTTTGTATTTATTTTAGGTACTTTAAGAACTTTAAGATGAGCTGAAGGAGAGTGTTGGCTAAGCAAATCTATGGTTTATGAAATGTGAAAAAAAGGGAGCTGTTAAAATTTTTGTGGATACTATTGCAGAGCATCAGCAATTCCACCAAACAGAAGTGTTCTTAGAAAACATCTATGTTCCTAAAAATTACTAATTCTTCACGATTAAACTCCTAGACACTTAACTCACATACTTTTCTTCCCCGCCCCTTGAGTGAGAGCACAACACTTTTTGAAAGGGGAAAATAAACATGATACAATGAAAGCTGAAGCTTATATGGCTTTTACATCTTCTTCCCTCTCTTTACATGAATTCAAACTGGGTTTTAAAGAGATGGTTAAAGTAAACTTGGTATGCTAGTGAAAATGAAAATATGAAAATATGAAAATTATCAAAATGGATATAACCAATACCTCAAATGGAAAAGATGTAATGTGGAGTGATAACAGAGATCAGGAACACGGCTTGCTAAGCTGGCAGCCGTCAGTCAAGCTACCATTCAGTACAAGATACCCCTTTGCAAACGAACAACAGGCAGACTCCCAGCAGAACCAGCCCATAGGCAGAAAGTGCTGTACCACCACTGCAGGTGACAAAGCACTCAAAATATCTGGGAGAAGATAGATTTCAGCATTATACAATAAAATGACCTGAATACTTCTTTACTACTGTTGTTTAGCTGTTCACTACCTATTTTCTCTCTAAGAGTAGTTTCCCTCTTGCAGAAAAAACTGCTGAATAGGTTTAACATAGCAAATGCTTTGTGAGTCTCGGTGCATTCATACATTCCTGTGGGGCTTGACTGACACTTGGCGGTAATGAGAAACGCCAGCTATTATGGAGTAACATCTATACATGCTAATGTTATACTTCCCCCCCCGCCCCCTAATAAGCACCTTAATCAATAAACACTACTGTTAAGGTTTGAAGAGCTTCTTGGTCAAAAACTATGTAAATGCATGGCATTCCTAGGCGACGGTGATCAGAGTGTAACTGCATGATTTATTTTTTCTTTCCCCAAATGCCCAGTCTCCTTCTCTATACTCCAAATGACTTTAGGCTACCAGCCCCCTCCCCCTAACCCCCAAATGTCTGGACAGTCATCCGATTAAAAAAGCATAAAATAAACCACGCAAGAGAATTAAATGAACTGCAGTCAGACTGCTGTATTTTTATCGTTACTCCAAGTATGCTTGTGTTATACTGATTCTCCTCAGAAGTATATACAGGAAGTACTGAATAGCTAGTTTCTTTTTTCCATGCATAAAGATACCTTTAGATTTCTCAAATCATATCACAGCTGTGCAGAACAAGCATTATTTATACAACAGCTATGTTGATCAAATAAAAACAAAACCCCACAGGTTCCTGTACACATTTTAATACCTTTTACTTCTGAATAACAAATGCGTGAATTTTCACTACTATCCTAGTGGAGGCATATTAATGATTTGAACAATTCTGGCCTGTAAGAAAAGACAGTTTAAAAACATACTATCTGTAAAAAAAAAAAACTTAGCTCCATTAACCGAAACGGTCACATTCTTAAAATGTTCAAAAGCCAGCATCTTTCATTGTCACTTGATATTCATTTTTCAAGATACACAGGAATGTGCTGCTTTGAAAATCCTAAATACCTAAATACTTGAAATCTTTCTTTAGCTGAATGTAAGTAGTTCTTACCTACTGCAGTAAGTCCTTCAGATATTGAGGTAAGAATATAGATTAGGACACGAGGTTCTAAACTGGTAATGAAACTCATATGATCTTGGGTCAGACACTCCAAAAGCGGGTAGTAAGACTGGCTTAGTTTTCGGTATTGCTGAAAAAAGAGTACACATTCATAGTAAGTATAGATATTACCATTGACTAATACTAACAACATTAACACATGATAGAAGAACGATCTTACAGTTTTTATGATGCAATACATTCTAATTTAGCCACTGAACCAAAATATTTATAGAGACAAAATATTTTTTTGTCTTTGGTAGATTTCAACTTTTCAAATTTACCATAGGATATAAACTCACTATTAGTTTAAAATAAGATCAGGATAATACAATAATGCTCTCGTGCTTTGACATTCTACACGGCTATCAGTCTAGTAAAAGCAGTATAGCATTCTGTCCAGGGTGCCAGTTTGACAGGATTACGGCCCATATCTTACCTTCTGCAGGAAATCTTGTAAGTTTTATCACAGATTTCCCCCAAATCATCTCAGAGACGGACATTTTTGGGGCTTAAGCGAGGTCCTTTAACAGGCTCTGGGCAGGCAAAGGCACTTGCTTGAACGCACTGGCTCAATCAGCAGATTACTCTTAAAGACTCTGATTTAGGGCATTTATTGTTGGAGGGCTAGGAGTGTGCCAAATATGCACACTTCACTATACAACCAATGCACCAATTTTAATTGAGAGCAACTTTTCCGTTCCAAGGACTTTATTTATGTGGCAGGCATAAATCTGGGTATTAACCATCTTTAACTATCCTGAATTTGTCTCTTCCTGCAAGAAAATGACAGTTTTGAACTGAAGCGTCCTGAAGAAAATGTCACAGCTCAAATTTAGGCCGATACTGCGCAAGATCTATTGTCTTCGCGCAGAGAAGCGGGAACATGGTATACTTTAAAATTAAAGTTTTAAATTTTATGGGGAATACACAGTGACAATTTACAGATTGAAGCTAATTGCAGAGCAGCTGAATATGTGAGGATGTTTTACAGGGCATGCGAGCAACCTAATGGGTTTGCAAGTACAGAAAGGAACAAAATTTTGCATTTCTCTTTCACGACAAGCCTAGTGAAAATTCTGGAAAAGCTCCCGTTTCACATGGCAGGTCCATCATAGCTGTATTTTAGATGCTACTACATAAATAAATTCAAGCGATTGAAATGAAAACTGCGTTTGAGCTGTTCTAGATCCCTCTGTCTCATTATAACAATACAAAGCCTGTGGTGGTGTTATTTCATATTTCACGTAAAGACTCCCAAGATGAGTAATTGCTTACTAGCAAGTCACTGTGGGATACTGAAAGCAGCATTTTGACAAAGGCCTGAAGTACATTGTCAAAGTGGTTGTCCCCGTACAACTTGAAGACGCCAAAGCTGACATAATTTCCACATAAGGCAGATTTGAGTGCAGAGTAACAGATGGAAATGCCCTTGAGTTTCAACGGATAAACCTGATCTTTTGACAAAGTCCCAAGAGAGAGGATCTGATTACCTGTTTTCATAAAAAGAAAGAAAGAAAGAAACTTACATAAGCAGCTGCAAATCTAAAATATTTTGATGGCACTATCTAAACTTATTTTTTGTCTTTATTTTCACTACTATTCGGAAGAAAAATTTTTTCTGCATTTGATGTAAAAGATCTGTTAAGTAAGCATGACTAAAGCTTAAATGCCACCAAGGAATTAGTATGCACAATTAAAAATATAAGCTATGGAATTGCTGTCATTGATAGACCCAGTCATGGTCTGGCTGTACATCAGCATGAATTCCTTAATCTGAACAGAGTTGCAACACATGGTTTTATAGCTTCTCATGCTGCAGCAAAGCCTGGTTTTGATCCATTACCATGACGGTCTCTTGGGACAGTTGCTGATGTATACACGCACTAAATATATCCCTCAGAAAACAAATATGTCCATTACAAAAGCCTCTATTTTACCAGTCACAGATGGGAATGACTTTTTAATTAAAATCCATGTCTATAATGTAAAAATAACAGCTAACTGTAAATATTTGCTGTTGCTATTAACAGGCGATAGTGACTTTTGGATCCACCGTGCAGCAGTGCAGTAGATCCCGCTGCAATCCTCTATACAAATCTGATTATTCGCAAGGCCTCATTACCAAGTTTTCTAAGTATCTTGTAATAATTTAATGCTCATCTTCACAGGACCCCAGAGTAAGTTTGTCTTCATGACAATTTTTTTTTTTTAACCTGAAGTAATTAATGAAAGTGAGCTAAAACAGTAGAATGAACACAGCAAAGATTGAAGTACTTCAGTTCTACCATGAAGTAGCCTTACTAGGTTGACCTCATCTGACATTGACCTTGGCAAGCTTGGCCTGCACAAAACCCAAGTACCAATTCTTTACTTTGTAACTACTGATCATTCTTGGTGATTTTAACTAGAGGAAAGTAACACAAAACCTTATGTTTTGAAAAGCATTCCTACAAAGAGAAGCACAATAGTCCATACAGATCAGACGCTTCGCTCGTTTGCTTTCAGCGTCTAACCTAGCTGTCATGGCTATGACGACAACTTGACGACAACTTCAATGAGTGAACTGTACATTAACTATTCACAACCCCAAACATTGCCAGTTGAGGGAGGCAGTTATGACAACTCAGTTTTGCTTTTATAATAGGCAATTAAAAAAATGCCCCTTAAAACTTGCCTGAGATCACACAGATCTCATAGATTGCGTAGTCCTGTTTAATACATATTGAGGCCTAATATTAAATTGGGCCTGTCTCCTTGCAGCTCTCCTTTCTACCCATGCAAACTTCCACCTGCAAATCATGTACCTGCCTTATTTTAATTCTTTCTCTTAATGTTATTGATCACCCACAATAAGGAATTTACATCATACAACTAGAAAATGAGGGGGAAAACCTTGTTTCTAAACACCCAACGCATCAAAAGATCACCCACTTGATATCCTTTAATGCAAAGAGGGAAAGGCATGTTTACTGTTTAAAAGATTAATGTTGTTCACCACTTCTAGCAAGTACACGGCAATTTATCCATCAGGTTGTAAAGGAAAAGTAGATTTACAAAAAAAGGCTGTGAGTATGATCAGGGATTGCTTAGAAGCAGCAACTGGGGTCTGTAAGAAGTGGGAATGTCATCACTAGAATTATGGAAGGTAGGAGAAGAATCAAATATTTATCTAGGAAAGATGATCACTTACAATAAAAACCAAGCCCTCTTAATTAAAAAAAAAGTTTTTTAAATGAATGAAAATAGAGACTGGTTTTGATAGTGTAAATGGTCATATGAGTACCTCTACAACCCCAAATGCCGTAGTCATGAACACAGTGTTAACTGGGGAAGAGGGCACAGCTCCAGTGACTGCTACTGCATAGAAATTAATTCCAAATGGTGTTAAATCTCTGTTACGCTAAAAATGAGCAGGATCCAAAAGATCCTCTTTGAAAAGTAAAACATAGCAGGAAAAGAAGAATGTCTTCTACTGTACCTGCATATTCATTTACTGTCATACTTTACATTACTAAGAAATTACATTTACATAAAATTAAAGATAAGCTCCATTTAGCCAAAGATATCCCAGCCAGGTCATCTTAATTAACATTAATCTTTTTGACAAGGCCTAGTCCAGTTACTGAGAAGAGCAGTGAATCTCAAATTCTGTGAAAAAAATAACATGAAATACCAAAATCTGTCTGTGAGAAAAAGCAGGGAGATGCACACTATTTTTGAAAGCCACTATGTAAACAGTGTACGACTCTTAGGGCAAAAGCAAGACAAAAAGGTAAGTGTGCTGTAAGCTAACATTATCTGGTCTTCACGATTAAATTCTCGGCTGAAAAGCTCTACTTCGATAACACAAATCTGTATCAGAAATAAGCAAAGTTCTTGATCCCAGAAAGTAACAGCCTTGAGTTTATAGCTGTGCTCTCCAAGCGCAACATCGTGAAATCCTAGGTCCTTGAAGTACTCGGTGTAATATGCAACAACAGATGGAAAGAGCTTAGTAGTTGTCAACGAGGCAATTACATACTTAATATGGAAATTAATTGGAAGACAACGGAAAAAACAGAATGATGAGGAAAGAAGTTGAAAAAAACCGAGGAATCCCTTAGCCTGGGAACATGAATTCTAGGAGGTATCCACTAGTGCTGATCTATCTTTTTTATTCCTTCGCCAGAAAAAAAAAAAAAAAAAAATCACCCCATAATTAAAACTTTAAATCCATTGATCAGCATAAAGCAGTCAGTATAGGAAGGCACAACCTCTGCTCCCTCACGCTGCCTCACCCCGGGCAGGCATGGCAGGAGACGAATTCGGTGCCCATCCCTTCTAATGAAAACACTGAGAAGAATTTGCGTCTAGTGCAAGATTAAAAGCTGCTTTTTGCCAAGTGGACAGAGTCCACCGAGAACTGTTCAGTGTTCATGGACTCATTTTAAAAGGGCCTAAGAGTGGGAACAGCCGATTTCAAATGAGCAGCAGAGGTGAAAGACCACGCGGTGCCTGTTACCAACGCCCTGAGCCATCAGCCTGTGATTCAAGGGATGCAGCGCTGGAACAAAGACTAGTGTTTTAGCATTAGTTATTGAAAAAAAATATGAAGTACGGTGCTGTGCCTGACTAGAGAAAAAAAAGAATGATCTACTTGTAACATTTAGCAGGAGCTTCAGGGGAATATTTTTACACACCATGGATACTACTGAACATAAACTAATTTACTGAGGTACTTGGAATCAGGTCAAGAACAACTCCTCAGCTACTGCGGATATGCTTACATTTATAATCCCTGTAGCGAAGGACCAAAATACAATTTTATAAACCCTATTGTTAAAAGAAACAATTTAAAGAAATTAAACCAACAGAAAAGTGACCTTTGACACGCTACGTTTAAAAATTGTGTTTGAAATTCATAGCTCCTGTCAAAATGAAAACTCTGTAGAGACTAATCAGTGACGTTTCAGTGTTACTACTGAGTTAAAAACCAAATTAAAAAAAATCCAACTTGCACCAATTTCTGCTTGTTGGGGAGAAATTGTACCACACAATCTTAAAAAATACGAACTTTTAAAATTCTCAATAATTTCTTTTAATACAACTTTTTGCCCTGCATTTGACAGCAAGGTCACTTACAAAAATTATAAACTTTCTGAGCCTCAGAGATGATACAAAATTCTGACAGGAGTAAGAAAAGGATTTTTAAAGACATTGGGTGGAACTGCTAGATAAGAAATAAGGGCTCGAATTTGACTGCCAATTTAAGCATTTCGTTACCGCAAGACTCCTTAGTACAAAACCAAAGGAGCTGCAAGAAAAAAAGGCGTGTGTACGCAGAGGGGGAATACAAAGCCGGCTACAAAAAACCCAAAGTGGGATGCTCTGACCGAAGCTAACACCAGCATGGCTCGGAATCCCACAGGCAATACGCACCAGAGCTTCTGCACAGCTCATTCCCTCACTCCCTCCCAGATGCGGGAGCACGTCAGGACAGGCAGCTTCCCTTTCAGTTCTCCTCCTTAATTGCCTTTACAGTAGAAGCTATAATACAAAAATGATTTCCTTATGGCTGAGTTTCATTTAAGCAGGGCTTGTTCTAGATTTCAGTCCAATAAGTGCTATGTATAATAATACAACTAAATCATGTTTTAACACGTGTGAATTAGATGAAGATTAAAAAAAAGACTTTGAGATTAAACAAAGGTTGTGAAAATTAATCACATTTATAGAGAAAAAAGTGTTTTTTTGCCTCTTCCCCTTTCCTATTTTTATTATTCACCACTGCCCCATAAAGATGGTTTTGAATGTATGCTTCCCAGGCATTCAGAGTGCCAGGGCAGTATAGAGAAGTGGCCATATATAGAAAACAAACGGAAAACATGAATCATGAAGATGAGAGCGAGCTTCGAAAACTTATTTTTTTAAGCTTCCACAACAACAAAACATGCATAAAACCTCTCAAATCAGCACAACGAGCATGCATCGCGCCAAGATAAATTTGCCAAAAGAAACCCATTATGAAAACTGAGTCAGTAATGAAGAGCAATATATTCTGGAACCACTATTGCAAAAGAGAGGAGGGCAGACCAATGGCAACCGAGACTGGTGAGCATTCCACTTCTAAGCTAAGCTGCTGATTAAAAATACCTGTTCCACAGCAAGAATCACTTTAACCAGAATTTTGCAGAAGAACTGTTATCTTATGAAGTTGCTGGCACTGAATGGATTACCACACTAAGTTTTGAAATACATGCTCAAGAAGCAATTTAAAGCTCATTAGAAATAATTGTGTCTGGCTACTGGAAAATGTGGTAAAATTTAATCCACATCCAAATGCTACCTGGGCTGTGAGAACAGGAAATTGTTTTGTGCTACTGTGGCTAACCTCATCGCTGACCTTCAGCAGTAACTGCTACAACAGCTGAAAGCTGAAGCAAAATTAAAAACTTACATCAAAGTATATCATGACAGAATGTAGATAAATAAAAACAGCATATTGAAAATATTATTTTTATGTCAGTCTCCTATAATGAAAGGGAAGAGGTTTACGAAAATGTAAAGAAACCACAAAACAAAAATAGATAGTCCCAAGATGCACTGAAACATCATTCCTATACAACTGGGAGTTCAAAAACACACAGTAAGGAGACTTGTAGATACAGAATTAAAAGTGAAACATATTGGGGATGAAGAATGGTGGATTATACTATTGCAACTCCTTTCAATTTTTTCCTCTCCGTTGTTTCTTTTAAATCACTTTATCACTCAGTCAGACTGGCTCTAGCCATAATGGACAAGACACACCACCCCTTGCCAAGCAGCCGCAGAGTCCTAACAAGGATAATTGACTATCTAAGTGCTTTTTGCATCCCGCGCCAGGCTTTACATCTTCTGAACATATAGCACTTGTAAAGACATCTTAGAAATGCCTTCAGAAGTGTTATCGGTATCAGCGATAAATGAGCAGAAGGGACAGGACACGCTAGTACTAACCTAATCGCAAAGCTGGATCTGTTAAGCAGAATTAAGCGCTCGCTGAGGTGCTAATTTTAGAAAATGCAAAGAATTCATATTTTAAATTTTATTCGGTGACAACTGAAGATGCTTAGCATATCCTAAAAACAGGCATTTTGGATTTTCTTCTGCTTTGCACTCAAACGTATGAAATCACTATATGCCACTCTAGAGGAGAAAAGAGTATATGCTTTAGTCTGGAATTAAAGACATTTCAGCATCCATACTCACAAGCGTTCACATACGTTCACACCCCAGAAACACAGTTCTACCCTTTTCCTCCCCCTTTTCTTTTTAGCCCAAGCACAGATCTTAACAGTACATATAGATAGTAAATGGAGGTACCACTCAGACACAAACGGACATCACAAACTTTGGCAAAATTTAAGTTGGAAAGAAGGCGACATGCTACGTTACCAGACGTTTGTTTCAAAAAGTTATTCCCATGTAAACAAGAGTACAGGGTTTAGACAAAACAAATCCACACATAAATTCTAAATTATCCTTCATCACCTGAAGAAGGCCGTATTAGCAAAGTATCTGTGTGTTATCCAAAAGTGCTTTGATCAGTGTAGTCCAGACTTAGCAAAACATCAGCATTTTGTCAGTAACCACCAGAGCACTGTGCTCTGATGTTGGCCAGAAGAATCACCCAATGCCACCTCACTTCAGTTACTAACTCTTTCTCTAAGTGTTGACAGAAGAGAGATGTATTCCAGCTCATATTTTTATGTCCCTATAGGTTTATATTGCAAAGACGACTCCCAGTGGACCTAAGCCATAACTTGGAAATTTTCATGTTTAGTTTGGTGCAAGGAAAATTTCTGAAAATAATACTTTTACTAGCGATTTGTGTACATTGTTACAAGTGAGAGAGAAGAGGGAAAAGTGCTGTCCTAAAACAAATTTAAATTTCACTTACCAATGGAAGTACAATACAATTAAGCCAAATTTTCATTTATTGTTTGTATGATATGTTCTTGTAAGAGAGAGGAGCAACCAGGCGAGGCTGCACTGTCTGCAGGAGAGAGACGACTGCTGCCGAGCTACGGGAAAGGAAACTCTGACTGTCCAGGGCACGGCAAGGAGGAGAGGTGAGGGGTAACGAGCAGAGTTGGAAGCCCAGACAGGGATTGCCAAGAGAAGCAAAGGCTGTCAGGCCTCCAGGTGATGGACAGAACTTCTCAGGGATGAGAGGAGGCTGGGCAGAGTTTATGGCAACCCACCTGGTCAATGGGATTAACTGAAACCAAGACTGAAAGGAAGGATCTTCCCACCAGGACAGTGTGTCATGTCATCACTTTGTGTTTCTCTTCGTTTAAAAAGGCAATTATTATCATTTAGATTTCAATAAAATCTATCTTGAGTTTCAAGTATCTTTTTGATCAACTTTGGGGAGCTACTGTAAGCTGCAGGCATATACAAGAGGTTTGGCTGACTTGGTACAGTAAATTAACATATCCTGTCTCTTGTCATCTCTTGGCATTTACTGTGTGTCCTATTTTTTCCTCTAATGCTCCAGCCATAAAATCGTGCTGAATGTGAGGATCTCAACTGTTTTCAGAGTTTTAAGTTACTAGCGGTAATGGTATAGCAGAAAACTTGAAAACTGAATCCAAGGCATGCATGTCTTCATCCTTTTAACTGAATCACACAATTTTTCAGAATATGGTGCTGGAAACATTGCTCACAAACACCAAAGTGAATTTGATGATCATCGCTTGGTTTACTTGTTTATTTTTTCCCCAGATGCCTGCCAAAATTACATATGCTTAAAAGACAAATACACTTCAAAAAAAAAGGTCATGGAGTATTATGGGTTAAAGTTTTCCTTAAAAGCGCAATTTAGGTATTAAGATTTTCAGGAAGGCATTTGAAATTAATGCAAATTTCCTCAATATAGATATTTTTAGAAATATCTGTATGTTCAAAAGATCATACGTAACTGAAGTAATGAATCCTTACAACACATTTCCAGAAGAGTTCTATCTTTCTGTACACTGGAATGGAAATCTCATAAACTAGTAATCGTCAATAAAAGCTAAAAATGTGAACAGCAATTATTCAAATCTCATTAATTGCTGTATCTTGAAACACTTATAGTGGCCTGTGAAACTTTCCCAGACTGTAAGCCAGTGACCACTTCAGAAATAGCTGCCGCAATTTGAAATAGCGCTAGTTTAGGATGTTTGTTACCGTGCCCGCAGCTGAGCCACGGCGACGGCCGGGCCAGCGCTGCCCATCTGTGCCAGTGCAGAGCCAGCTGGATTATCTGAAATCTCTGCCCTAAGGGGCCAATTCAGCCGATTGCACTGGGAGCTCTTTCATGCTGACTTTGCAGCGAGTCCAGTCCCAGAATAAATATTGGCAGTGACTCACAGAAAAGAAAGCCTCAACGATTCACACCTCAGTCACACCTAAGTTGTGGAAAGATCCCTGATGGGACCCTTCCAGGCACCGATGACGACGTGAGTGTTTTTTAAAAGCAAAATGACAAAAACCCAAACATAAGATATATTGAGCAGAGGCTTTCTCCCACATCTACGTCTTTCCTCCACTTTTAGTTGATAGGTGATTTCAAATTTTTCGTTTGGAGGACGTTAAGAACAGTTCTCCTCTTAAACCTGTGTTGAGTAAAATATCATCCTCCCGCAGGAAAGACACAAAAGAGAAGCCTGAGAGAAAGCTCTTATGGTCATTTCACTTCTTTCTATGGCACACACCTCCAAGTAGATGCCACACATCCCTAAATGTCTTTCACATAAATTATCAAAGAGGGTTACAGGTGTTTGGACACAGGCTTCAACAGGCTCTATGGCTCCACTGCTTAGTTTTAAATCTTAAATTTGCACTGCCCTGAAGTTTCCTTTTGTGCTGCACAATTAAATTGTAGCATGATCCAGAAGCGTTGTCTGGTCCTTATGTGCAAGAGCTGCCAATACTTTAGGGCTGAGAATTTTATGAACTTCACATACACACCATAAAAGCTGCAACTGAAAGCAAAAGGTTCCTTTGCAAAGTGTTTTTTAGGCATGAATTAGGAATGAAGCAGGTTGAAACCAACTAGTGTGGTTTAGTCAGCAAGGTTTAGAAACTTGCTGCCAACAACTGACATGAATGGATGCCCAACAATATGCTTATGTTTTTCAGAAGTGCAGAAAAGATGGTGAAGGCTGACTGAAAGTAAAAAAAAAAAAAAAAAATTAAAAAGGGAAATATAACTGCAGTGGGGTTAGGTACCATAAGACAAGTGGATTTGAAGCATCATCATGACTACACTTGATTTTTTTTTTTAAATCATGAAAAGAAAGCTTACAACACTTAAGTGCAAAGACTAACAGAAATTGAGTAGTAAAATCTAAAAGTTTACCTTTTATCTCTTCATACATGGAAAACCTTACTTTTATTTTGCTTAATTGTTCTAACAAATTTACTTAAGAACATGGCTGAAAAAATGTGCTAGCTTACCACATGGTATATTTGAAAAAGAAACACAAAAATTATTTTGCAAGGAGTAAGAGTTACTTGGGTGTAATTTTTTTCTGTCATAAATAAATGCTTTATGCATTCTGCATATACTGTTTCCATGCCCTGCAGATCAAATGCAAAATTACACTTGAAGTTTCTTACACAGGCAGCTATGTAACACAGTTTCCAGACCCAAAAAGCAGCCTGAATGCAGTAAAAGCAAATTTGATGCACCAATTTTCCTTCTTTAAAAGTAACAGGACATTTACGCCTCTTCCTATTTACACAAACTACAAATGAGGTTGCTCTACAAAAACCCGATAATGTTCCTTTCAAAATATTCAGACAGCAAAATTGTAAGCTACTAAGTCAGCTGGAGTGTAATATAAACTGCTGGTGTCAAAGACCTGTTGCAGCTGCATGCATGAGTGGGAGCAGCAAAATGGAGCAACTTTTTATAAACACTTTTAACAGCGCTCTAGAGTAAAGCTGTTATGGTCCTACTATGTTTTGGAACTGGTGGAATATAATTGGAATACATAAAATCAACCCACACCTATCAATCAGTAGCCTAGATCAAATACCTCATGAGTATTTGTATCTTTGCTGAAAGACATTTACAGTTGCTAGAAGACAGCTATTCAAGTTAAAAAAGTGATACAAGCAAAAAGTTGCTGCATGAATGAACCCTGGTCTATGAAAGTAAATGAGCTCCCAAGGTTTGCCACGTAAGCTCTGCACTTCCCAAAGGGATGATACTGGCTGTTACACATTACGGTCCTGCTACGTATTCCACAAATCCATCAGTGCTCAGCAATATGAACTAACAGGAGTTTCATATCACAAGACAGGCAAAAAAATTACACTGCAGAGGAAACGTTAATGAATACCTACCATAGGTACAAATCATTTTACTGGCTTCTCTGAAGAGAAGAATTCCATTTGGAGAGGATACATCAAAATTTAAACGCTGCGACCTGAAAAATAACAGCAAAAATATTCAGATGGTCATCGAAGCAGAAAACTGCAATGGGTTCATTCCTAAAACAAAAAAAAAATTTGCTGATTACAAAGTACAATTATTTGATAAATTAACTCTAGCTTTCAGTCCAATGATGTACAACTTAGTTACCTAAATAGGTTGCCAAAGAAACAATCCTATGACAAAAGACAGAACAATTTTAACCAGAAAAGGTGACCAAACAATACATACGCAGCTTTCAGTGACCGATGAACATCTTGTGCCCGTATACCGTTCAGAAGAATGCTACAGAGGCTCCATAATCCAAGCCGTTAGGCTAACTTTTACCCTGGTTCTGCATCTGTACAGCTTTTAAAAATAAACTAATCCCCACTTATTCTGCTACGTAAAACCCGTGGCAATCCCAAGCCCGTTCTCCGGGTGTAAAGCGAAACATGCTTTTTATGAACATTCAGACCCGAAGGAGATTGCACCACGCTGTCTTCCCTGATGCGCATGTACTACCAAAGCCAGGAAGTAACACTTCGTTCCCAATCTGGAAACGCAAGAGAATCCTTGCCAAAGTCCATGTTGCATCTTTCCAGTTTGTCTTTGTGATAAAGAAGCCTAACTGCTACTTCAGGCCTAAGAGTTCATTTGGAAACTTGAAGCTGACTCAAGACCTATGTCTTAAGCTTCTAAGTAACTAGCAAAACTCACCCTTGGTGTTTATCTGGACTGAAAGGGAAAGGAGTCATCACTGAGTGATGTAAACCAGAGTATCCCCTGGCTGACCTCTCTGGGAGTCATCCACTTCTGATGACATGTGGAGTCCCTGTATCACCTCATCACAGCGACAGCAGGAGGTATCCTTCTTTGCAGCCAGTCCAGGTTTTTGTTGCCCGAGTCCCTATTTGCAGGGTTCTTCGCTGCGAACTCTGGAGTAAATCTGGGTGTGTACGAATGACTACAACGTGCCTTGTATAAAATATTTATGTATTGCATATGCACAAAATGGTAACGGCTGGCGGAGGCAAAAAAACCCAAACCCAAACCAGCACATCTTCTCAATATCAGAGTGGCATAATGCACAACCTGATACTCCGGAACATATTTTAACCATGTCAAAGTATATTGTATAATGCATTCTAACCTGTAAAAGCTAATGTGGTACACAACTCGTGAAAAAACACCGTCCCAGATGATGTTTTCTAAAGGGAACAAGGCAGATTTTCTGAATACCAATCGGTAGAAGAATAACATGAATATGGAGAGTAGCTTGAAGAGCTGTCTTTTGCATAAGATTTATTGTTCCAGTTCCTCTTTGCTTTTGTTTACTGATTAGAGTTCTGTGTTTATGCTTTAACAATCTCCTCCTTGAAATAACTTGCAGCACTATTACAGTATACTGCTTGTGCATGACATCGTGAATAAAAATATGTTACACTTTTCCAGCAATTTGTTATACTACCACCAGGATAAAAGACATAATTAGCCTAAACAAACCAAAGAGGGAGTCACAGCAAGCAAGTCAACACAAACACGAAACAGGGATCTCTGCCTTAAGGTTTGGGTAGCCATTCAGGGATTAAGTGCACATCATACACGCTAGCGCTTGACTGGCAGCCAGGTCTGAACTTTAAGGCACCAATTTCCTGTCACTAGATTAAACTAAATAGCTTTTTTCAAATTTCAAATACTTCAACTTTTCTCCCTGTAAGTTCGATTTGCAAGGCAAAATGAGAAACGATGAGAACACATACTTTTCCGCTGAAAACTCTTAATTACTTTGGCCATGAAGATACCCAGTACAGAGACTTTAACTATCAATTTTTCATTTAAAAATCTTTTTTTTTTCCTTTGGGCAGTACACTAAGTATTCTAAGTGTAATGCGAATTTCCCAAAATAAATTGTTCTGTTACTTGTGGTAAAACAGGAATTTCATTCTAACTACTGCAATGTCAAGTATTGAAATAACCTCCCAGAATCACTCTGAGGACTTTTTGGTTAGCCCACAGAGAAGATTTTAGACACGCTGATTATAAATATTGCTGTATTAGATACCATTCGTTCCTATTTTGGCTGGAAGAGTCTGAGTTGCAAAAGAAACTGTAAAGGGAGCTGTGGTTTTTACAGGCACATATGTATGCTGCTTGGCTTAAAGCAAAAATTCAGCCTGCAGCAAATCTTGACATCAGACAATTTTCTGATATTTAATTATAGAGTCAGTATTTATCCCTCGTTAAAGCATACACTTCCACTAACACTGAATATAAAATCACAGTAGTCTCTCATATACACTCCTGTAATTAATCCTTACCAGCTGATTTTGTAACATCTACCATTTTGATAAAACAATACAATGACACTGAAAGCTGAGCTCCACTTGTGAATTTTGTTCCAAAATACAAAAGTAGCAGTTGTAAAGTCAGAGTCAGACACCACGAGGATAAGCAAAACACGGAAAGACAGAACAGAGAACGCACACCTCTGCAGTATTCATCACTTCTCATCACTTCACGTGCTTCTTACCTGTTTTGCATGAATTCTGCCATCAGCTTCAAGATAGGGGTTGTACACGCAGGTTCGCGATACCACAGTTCAATAGCTCTTTGCAGAACAGAAATGTACGCAGGGTATCTTCACCAAAACGAGTTAAAGAGTATACTGATAACAACTTGCAAAACAACTTCCCCTAAAACTGCACTACACCGTTAGGTGGGTGGGCCGGATACAGACCTTGGCAGCTCATTCTGACAGAGGCACTGCCAGAACCTGTAAATTTAAGCAAGCCTCTCCTTAGAAGACTAAATCCTTTGGAAACATTAATGGTTAAGTGGGAAATAGTTAATATACCAGAGCTGTAAAGGAGGAAAATGAAAGCACTTTGTATATGTGAAGCTAACCTGTAAGTACCTATACGAAAATGAGCTTGGATTTTTAATGAATGGCCTAAGTCACAAATGGCAATTTAATTTAAGAACACCACAAATATACATGTTAGCAAATCCTGGGCCCTAAATTTCAGCGCCACCTCATGTATATTGTATTTGCTATATAAATGGTTGGGAATAATTTGATTGTAACAAATCGCTTCCAGAGCATTCAAGAAGAGAACTCAGCCAAACTGTGTGGGGGAGACCTGCGAAGTTAGACGTCTACGAACTCTTTCAGGAGAGCTGTTTGCCCATCAGTAGCCAAAAGATACCCGTTCTTTTCCAGCAGCATTTAGAAGAATGCAATACAGGAAAAAATAAGTTTAGTAGTCTCTGCAATGTAACTTAAAAAAGATCTTAGGAGTTACTGACTGTATCAAAATATTTCATGCAATGATTTGATGCAAAGCTGACCCCTAGTTTTCCCAACGTGCCGAAAAAAAGAGTTTATTTGGGTAAGAATGCAGATTGGTAAATGGAAGAGAGGTAGCACAGCTTGACTGGTGAAGCATTCTGTGATTCTGTGGATTAAAGTGTTTTTTATATTGACCCAAGAGTTTTTTTACTATACCATTTGCTATTACAACTTGATATAGCTAATCTAGTAAATGGTTTTGTTTAACAATAAACTTATTTTTATTTTTTAACTTTGTTTCACATCATCTAATTCTGCTTTATTTAACTACATGAGAACTAGTGACTATTCTTAGGAAAATGCTATTGCTTATTCCGACAATAAAGGCAACTATTGCAAATCTTCCGAAGTCGACTACAGGCCAAGCACTGAACACGGGCCTGTGAAATAAAAGTCTGAAATACATAAAGGTTTCCACGCTTCTAGGACATGCGGACAGAGTCACGTCTCCGTTCGCTACAGCCCTTCTGGCGGAGGCTAAAGCCGTCAGACGCAGACTGCTGCTGAATGACAGCGCTGCGCGGGCAGATGGAAGGCACTCTGGCTACTGCTCTCTGTCTGAGGCACCTAAAGACTTGTGCATTTTTGCTGCCAGCTGCTTGAGGCATTGCAGGCATAAAACTATATATAGCGGAAGAGGCTGACATGTGAAATGTACTTTTAGACTTTATTTTTCTCTCCTTTATGGGGTTCTTTACATTTTAGATCAGACAAACTAGAGTTAAACATACCGTGGAGAGTTATCCAGCAATAAACTGGATTTAAATTCATTTCCTACTTGCTTACGATATCCCGTAAGATGGCACAGACGATCCATGCCATCTCATACCTTTAACAATTCACTAATACTAGTTCCATTTTTTCTGAGGTGGACTTCCAAGCCAGCTCGCTCTCAGCTGAGGATGGTCAATATTCTCAAAATGCAGCAGACGACATGTAAGGTACAGAACTGAACTGTGCTATTACTCCTCCTCAGTCATGCCTCTTCCTTAGCCTTCCGACGAGCCTCAGGTACACCAAAAAGGGAGACGGTGCAATGCTGCAAAGCCCCGCTGACGAATTCTGTGAGGTAGAAAGCAATTGCCTTTTCAGATTTCATGGTGAAGAGAGTGACTTGACAGCCAAACGCTACCACCAAAACGTAAGTCAGCAGCAGATATATGATTAGCGATCTTCATTAAAAAACTTAAGCATTGAGTCCGCACTCATTGACAAGGAAAGACTGGGGACTATAGGCAAATTTTATAAAAGCTAGGGTCAACAGAAAGGCTTTGAATTTTTTTTTTCCCGTTAATAAATCCAATAAAGTGGAATAAATTGGTTTTATATAGAATATTATTTTTACGTGTTTTTAACCACAAGGTTCGATGAATCTGGCTAATTAATGAACTTAACCTGACCGGTCAGTTCAAGCTCAAAGGAATTCAAACTGCAAAATACGATGCTGAGGTTTGAATCAATGCAACTGGCAATAACAGCTATTACAAAGAGATTACCAATCAGGTAGCCTTGTTTCATAGAAAATGTGTTCTCTTGTGATGAGGAAACTTCAATCCCTACAGCTGGTTGTTGGGCTGTCAAGTTTGTACCTAATCCTGAATCCTTAAAACATGTAAACTTAAAAAAATCAGTTCTTCAAAAATAGATTAATTTTCAACAAGCCATGTTAGTGCTGCACGTGGTTTTATTTTGTTAAGAAATACAATATGAATTTGGGTAAATATGTAACGATGGTAGTTTGGGGAAAAGATCGTTTTACTTGTTCTAGTGATTCAAATCTGAAGCAGCATATGATCAGCCATCCAAATATCTAGGTCAACTGGAACATTTAAGCGACCACTAGATAAAAACATCTTAATGGCAGATCACTTTTCTATACATTTAGTGTCTGATGTATCTCTACACATAGATATTTTTATATAGGCAATTTCACATAGCACACAATGTATATGTGTGCTTATCTAGCTGACTGCAACTGTGAGTCAACATAATAATTTAATTCTTGTAACCCATTTTCCTACTGCAACCTTCTTCTTTAAAAGACAACAGAAGTCATTAAATACCGAGAATCAACTGGGAGGAACACAGAAAAAATTGCCTATGGGTTACCATCTAACTGTAAGAAACACTAAATGAAAGCAACAAAAAAGTGGATATTACCCTGAACTCACAATTCAATCTCCACGGACATATCTGACTGCGAGACCAAGGATTTTAGACTACAGTCCGATATTAGTATGGAAGAAAACAGATTAAACATTCAACATCTTATCCAGGCAGTCTTGAAGTAAATAGCAGAATGAAAGACGTAAGGAGAATCACAACTGTTAAGAAAAGCAGGTTTTGATTCTACTCAAATTGGTATACCGATTTTTTCGGGCCACACCTGCATGTTCAGGACCGACCCGCAGATTACAGAGACCACGTTATGAATACAAAAGGCAAATAAACTTTCCAAAGCTCTGGTACTGGAATCGTCATTGACAGCTTGACATATCAATATTTCAGGAAGAATAAATGACTTTCATATCCAGGGTTTTGGTTTGTTTGTTTGTTTGTTTGTGTGATTTTTTTTTTTTTTTTCATCTTTCATTACCGGATACTTTGGGAAGATGCTACACTTTACACCTGAAGCTGCTTAAATATTTGGAAATATTTTAATGAAGTCTTTTGAGAGATCACCTAATACAACTTTAGAACAAATTTTACTATTATTATAAGTATTTTCTCTTCATCCCTTGCCAGAGGAAAACTATAAATCTTGTCTCAGCTGAATGAACACCATTTATCATATTCATTTTCTTGTCAATACAATTATGAAAAGCCTTTGGCCTTTTTCCAAGGAGCCTGATTTGCTAGAGAAACTCAATTAGTATAAGCAAGCCTGCTACAAAACAGCCCTATTTGGCAATCTAGCGCAGCTTCAGCATACCTGACGATTCACCTCTAAACCATGATCCTAATAACTCAATCATAATAGTAAAATACAAGATACAACATTGTCCCCTGTGCCTGCCCCCCCCTCCCTGGCCCGAAAGGTCTTAAAAGAAATTATTTCTGCTCATTTTTGCCATCTACTGGACAAAACTTAAATCCTAAACATTGCCATCAGGAAAAAAAAAAGAAGGCAAGAATCTCTCAGGTGAGAGATTACCACGTGTAAAACCGTTGTTTTCTTACGGACAGGGCTTAGACCCAAAATATCTCCTCCAATCACTTGAAAAGGTTATCAATACATTTTTCTACCAACGATTTACAAGCGACCGCTTCCGACAGTCTTCAATACAGAATAAACATCATCTTACAGTATATTAAAAGCTTAGCCTTTTATCCCATGCCTCTTTATATTGTTTACTTATTGAACAAACGCAAGTAAATCACATTTATTTTGGCTAATATACTGTATTTTCCATTTTCAGCACTGAAATACCAGGGCTTCAAACAGAATAAAATCTCTTTGAAAAACAACTTTTCTTTGCTATTAAAGCCATTTTCTTTGAAATTTGAAACTACATTTGAAACTACAACAGAAATATGTTAGTCAAAGGATATTTAAATTTTATGTGATAAAACTGGCATCTGACCATCCCTTCTCCTCCCATTTACCTTTCTGTCTTTATATACAGTAAATAAAGAGTTGCGATAATAGCAGCCTATTCTGCTATAATGCTGTGGATCAATACCTGGATGAAGCTGGACTCAGCCAAATGAGGTGAAAGCCACTGAACAGAAGCATGCACTTATCCTTTACAGCCAAAGGTGAGGAGGAAAAAAAATTCTGAACCTGTGCAAGGGAAAAGAAACTGAGAAGGCCTGAGCTTTGAATTCCACACAAAGCTACATTTCAATCTGCTTTTATTGTTAATACAGAAGAATGAAATCCAAAAGTTGGAGGCTGTTTTTATTTATTTGAAATAACCTTAATTCATAAACTGGGAAGAATAAATTAATTACAAAAAAAAGAAAGCAGGAAAGGGTCCTGAGGATTACGTATCCTGGATCCTTGTATAAAAAAAACCACCTCCATGGATGAATCCATTTCTTTCAAATGGAGAGGAGGCAAGTCTCTGCTATCCCTCCTCCTACAGCTGGAGATTTGCAGTTCTGCACAGGAGCAGAGCATGATACTCATGCTGTACTAGCAAAAACAAAGTAAAAAGAATTTTAAATGGAAGCAGCACTGATCTGCTTTTACACATTTTCCTGGTTTTATTATTAAGTTTTAGGGTAACACAAGCAAAAACGGTACTAACGAAGTTAAATGTGCCCAGTGGTGCCCACTAGAAAATGAGATGCTAATTCACAGTCTGGCTTCAGTAGTTTGGTTTGGGTTTTGTTTTGTTTTCCACTAGTCCTCTAAAACTGAAATTAAGGGTTGCTTTCCACTTTAAGAGAAATGAAGATTACACTGCTTTATGTTTTGGACTTGCTTTCTGCAAGCTGAGCCTGCACAGAGACAAAATCACTGCAGGCTTGCAAAGGTCTTAAAAAGGGCTTATCTGAACAGTCATCAGGATCCTGCTACCCACCACACAAGGACGTCTATCAGATCGTACCAGGTTCTGCTGTACAGCCTTTCAGTCCTTAAAGGCTGATTTCCTAGTTGCAATTCTAGATTGACGCATTTCTCTTTCTTAACCGGGAAGATTATTAGTGAACAGTAGGGTTTCATTATTTACTTAAAATAAAAATGTTTTTAAAAGCTTGATTTCTAGTAAAGCATGTAATTGTACTTGAATGTTATTTTTTTTGTCCATAAAGTAAACAAATACGTAATTAACTTCCATAGCTTTGTGAGATCTAAATTATAAAACAAATATTTTTATAGCTACTTCACTATATATTTCAGCAGTTTGATACTAGTATGGCTGTGTGCCTGAAGACAGAATTAAAGCTACTGTATTTATAAAAACACAAAATATTTCTCTATAGTATTAAGAAAATACCCATGAGTATTATTGTATTTGTTGGCATAAAAATGCATAGAATATCTGAAGAAAACAGAGTTCCATTATCACTACTTATTGAAGAAAACTACAATCTACAGATTTTGATTTTGTTTCAGATGTCCATTTCTTTCCGGATCAAGACGACTGCAGGTGTTGCGATATTAATAGAGTTGACATAAATAGAAAGTAACTGACTAAATTAAAGACATGATTCATACGAGGGAGAGAAATCTCCCCAGATAGCACTTGTGTAGTATTTTTTAAGCACTTTTGATGTTAAACCAAACGTAGGTACGTTGCGTTTGGAGTTAGAGGCACAGCTTTTTTAAATGAAAACGTTACGGATTTAGGAAGGGAAGAAAAGCACTTGGATATGTTTTCGAGATTAGTAGTGTGACACAACAAAAAAGTGACCTCTCTGTGGTCCTTCCCAGTTAACTGCACGGTTGCCATTGTGCTGTAATTTTAGCTGATTACACATTAGTTCATTTAGCTTTGTTTCCTCTTCCCCACTGTGCCATACTATTAAACTAATGCAAGGGGCCTGGCATCCCTCTGTGCACAGAGCTGGTATTGTCATCGTGTAATAAGGATACATCCAGTCAAACAGCATGGTGTAGCTGGTCTTTGTGTTCAGAGCAAAGGCAATCCCTCGAAGATCCCTTGCCAGCCCGATCAACATACGCTGTCAGTGGGAAAGAGACACAGTAATTGATTTTCACGTTAGCACAGAGCAGATGGAGTAATAATCAGCCAATAATGACCACATATCTGATTTTGATTCATTAGTTTAAATGTCTCGCTCACATCTTTTTTTATCAAAAAACAGAGATTCTTTTAACAAACAAGATTTCCACAAGTTTTATAGGGGTAACGCTAGCAAAATGCTTAGGAAATGCTTCTGATTATTCGATGTGCTACTCTAATGAATAATGCAAATTAAAACATAATATATGAATACTGTGTATTAAAGCTTAAAAGTGCTTCCTGTATTAATATATTTAAAGTAACAATAGCAATAAAATGTTAATTTAAGCTTGTAACATTCTGAATGAGGACTAACTGATACTCATAAGCCACAATTAAGGTTGCACTGACATTCTCATTGTATGGTTATTTTAACGTATCTTTTTTTTTTTTTTTAAAGTAAATTTCCAGGTTAAGTTTCTTCAAAAAGCGACTTTTTTGTTTACAGAAGACCATGCAAATCTCTGTCTGTATTAAAATTAGTTCCGAGATGAATTTTTTTTTCCCTTTAATGACTGAAGTGTGGCTTCTGAATCCTTCCAGTACAAATGCAGACAACATTTTATGCATAGATAATTAGCCCTTACTAAAGGGTTGTTTTCAAGATAATTAATAGACATCAATAAGAAACACTAGTGAATGAAAAATATTTTAACTATATAAACAAACTTTTCAATTTACTTAGACATAAGCATTATTTTTTGACAATTAAGTAGTTCTAATAAATTTTATCCATGTGTTGCAGGTGGGGTTTATACTGTCTCTTTTTTTTTTACAATAAGAGACCACAGTACTGCAGAGTCTGGTAAAAAATAAAAAATAGATCATAGAAGCATGACCAAAAAACCAGTAAGGAGTTCTCTCTTTAAAACCAGAGTTTTCAATAATGTACCACTTGGTGCTAACACTGTAATATGTACAGTGTTGAGAAATACAAACGGTAAGATTCACATATTAATTTTAATTGATCACATAAAGAGAAAATTATGGCTGATGCCTTGTTAAACTGCTAAATGTAATCTTCCACAAGGGCTAATTTCTAGTTTTCGTACACAGACCCATTAGTCCAACTGACTTGGATGGCACGCACACAGATTTATCCAAGGATAAATTGAGTTCTCTACAGAACACTGGTGAGGTTGCTAGGAGTATTTTAATATTTGTTTTTCCTTTCTGTTGTGCATCGAAATGGCCTGAACTTGCAAGATGCTCAGAGGTCTCAACTCTCATTAACTTTAATGGGACTCTGAAATCACTAGAGAGGAAGTGTTCAATACTGAGGAGATGCAATATAAAATTGTAACTTTATCTTTATATTCACCTGTATTTTCATACTGTTTTGTCCACACAGAAAATAACTGTTTAGCAGACATGGTGGCCAAACGTAAAGAATTAAAAGAAACCGGCAGCAACACTTTGTATTTCTTTCTGAAGGGATACAGAGATGCAACAATATTCACAAGGAAGTGGAAATCTTCCAGACCGATTTTGGTTCCTTGGCGCGTTCTAGCCACAAAAGAGGAGACAAGCGAGACTGCACAAAGGAAAGGCTGGAGCAGGGAAGAAGGGGAGCTACGGCCCCTGGCAAGACATGAACTTGCCTTTGTTTGGGGATGTGCTCCGTGAGAGAGCTCACCGTCTTACTGTGGTCTCTAGAACACGGGTTAGAGAATGACAACTAGCCAAACCCATATTCCTCTAACATGCTGCTTCTGTTTTTATAAAAACAACTGGTTGTAAGAAAACACCCTTTTGCAAACATATTTAAGAAACCGTTTGGCTGAGAGATTTTAAAAACTATTAGTGAAAGTAGATGTGCAACTTTCTTTAAACTGGAGTCCCAGATTTCTGGGAACCTACACAAACACCAGGCAATTTTAGACAGCGTTTGACCTTGAATTCTAAAGAAAGGAGAACAACTACAACATCAACTACATTTCTTGATTTGCTATTCTTTAAATTCAGGTATTGTTGTTAAGAATTAATCACACTATTCTTAACAAATGACCTCAATCTACGAGGCACCATAATATTCTTTTCCTGTAAAATCCCAAACTCAGTGGTTTAGATATCATCCGTTGCAACTCAACTTTATGAAACTACACTGCCTACAGTTAGCAACGTCCGAACAGCCTATATAATAGCTTACAGAATCCCAAGATAAATCCTGATCCATTTAAGTCACTGGTAGAAATACCTTTAAACTCGTAACAGGAGCAAAAATCACCCTAGATTCCATGCTTGCTTAAGTCACATTTAGTAAGAAAAAAAACCAACCCCAAGACCCTGAAATCCCAAGACAATCTAGTTTTAGTCCACTATGAGTTTTCAAATAGCACTTACGTGCATAAAATTTATTAATGACAAACAACACTATGCACTTATACGTGTACTTTTTGTCTGTCATCCTGTGGGATTCAAAGTGCCTTGCAAACTTCACAGAGTAATCTGAAGAATACATGAAGCTATTGCTTCATTCACGACTGAACACCAGCCATTTCTGGGGCAACGTGACAGTTAATAACACCATCAGCAACTGCAAAACGAGTAAGATGAGAAGAGGAGTAAATACAAGAAACCTAGCAAGAGGAGCTTCTCAGTAGTATGTGGGTTTATACATTGCTTTTCTTGCTAATGAAACAATTTTATTAAAATTTCGGTTCTGAAATATTCTTCCCTGAATGTCCATGATAGGTTTACTTAAGATTAATTAAACCAAAGCAATTTAAAAAATAAATTCAAGTATTTTGTTTCAAAAGTCCCGAAGAGGATTTTTCAATGGATTTTTCAAAGGAAAGGAGATGAAGATTTAAATATGCACAGGAAAAATCCTGTGACTTGCCAACATGTGCCAAGTGTCTGACTAACGCAATTTAAAGCGGACAAGACTACTCAAGCCATCCACCCCCAAAACAGGGTTTGTAATGGGAAGTCTGACAGACCCTTAACTATAGTGGTACTACTGGGTGCAGCTATAATATTACCCTCATAATTCTACTATATAATAACAACAAAGGAAAAAAAAGGTGAAGGGTCATTGCGCTTTGTCTTTAGAATTAAGATGGCTGTCTTCATCCTTACAGCATACTCTTAATTCTGGAGACACGTCTTAATAACCTCTAAATAGTTCCAACAAAAGAGCCGTGTCAGAGGAATGAGCAGGCCCCAAGGTGTTTCAACTGGAGTGTTTTCATCTGCCTTTATTGCTCTATCCCTCTCCAGAATTAAGGCAATAACCTGTGATAAATTATTCAGGAACTGCTACAGGGATCAAAGCAAAATCATTCTGTTAAAGTGCTGTTTGCAACATTTGGCACTTAGTGTGAAAACTTTTAATGTGTGCAAGCTGAAAATCAAGGATTTTAAATAATTTAACAGCATGGAGTTTCTACAAACCAGCTAAAGATAGCATGTTGCTATTTAGCAGCTTTTGCCTCAGATCCTTTTTTTTCGTGCGTTTCTAGCAAATCTGATGATGTCACAACTATAAACAAAGTACTACTGAGATTCCGGCTACCCCGTCGATATATTACTCAACTGGATTGTCAAGAGAAGCCTGGAAATTCTTAGGAGAAAATCAGTCACTCTTTTAATACTGGACATTTTTCCTATTAATATAAAATGTGAAGAAGGAAAAAAAAAAAAAGAAAGAAGGAAAAAGGAAAGCAAAGCACATAATTACTTAAACCATCTTCAATTATATTTGATCTCCCTGGAAAAGAAACCTAAACATATGTTTTGTATGCAGATTTAATGATTACAAATGTATTTTAAAAAGAAAGCGCTCCCTTGTTGTGATTGTTTTTCAATGGTGTATTTCAGAATCATTAAAAAACTAAAAAAACCCTAGCCAGTTAGAAAGTCCTAGTAAAAACCACAAATTAAATGAATTTGGCAGTCCTGGACCATTTTCATAGTGATATTTTAACACTGTCATCTCCCTGTGGATCGGAATACTAAGCATTTTATTGAAGAACTGAACTGTTTTTGTTTTCAGTACTTGCAAAATGAAGTACCTGAAAGCACTTTTGCATGTATTATTTATTCATCATGATAGAAAAATAGCTTTAACCTAATAAATTACGTTTAAGAGAATTTAGAGCAAAAGTTTTGTTTATGATAAAGCAACAGATTTAGTTCTTTATCAGTAGCTTAAAGCACCAAGTTTTCTTTACACAAATTAGACAGATGGTGCTTACAGTAGAATTTACTAAAGGTCTGTCACAACAAATGCAGCCAAGCTGCATATTTAATCACTGCAGAACCTTGTCTACCTGCAGCTGCCAACTGCTAATCCAATTTCCCTGATAAATGTGGCAAGAGACACGATCAGCAATAAAGAGCATCTAACTCCATTTTCCTGCAGGGCGTCTTTTGATGAACATTTAGGACGGAAGCACGGAGTGCACTGTGTGGCCCTGGCTTGTGGCAGCTGCATGCATTTTGAAGACACAGTTCTCAGGTTACTCACTTAATTCTGCCACTATCATTATGTTGCTATTGATCTCAGTAGCTCTTGTCTACACAGCATTACTCTAGATGAAGCTGAATCAGGCAGTTATCATGCATCAAACTTGCTCAAAAGCCTGGAGATTTCCCCTTAATTACTTGTGATTTTATTTGCAAATACCGTTAAAGTGTAATCAAGCAGTCACTTTCCAGGGTCGTTAAGAACTTGCTAGTTTAGGAATATATCACTGGCACTCCATTAAAATTTCTCTACTAAGATGGTTTCAAGCAAAACAGATAGGACAACGGCAAAACCATTTTAATAAAAACTGAATCCTCACATGAGATAAACACGGTTTCCTACAGAAAGGGTAATGCTATCAAATGACCTCTTTGTTCTAATTTTTAGGATTTATAACTTGAAAATGTAAGAGATGAATCCAAGATAGATGAACTGTGTCTGAACTGCATCTATTTAATAAATGAAAAGGTATTAAAATTAAATACATAAAGCAACAACAAATGAGGAAACCAGAATTAAGTAATTGTTGAAACAACTTTAAGTACTATTTAAAAAAAGAGCTTAATCCAAGTGATTATTGTGAACTGTGCATCTTTTGGTAATGTCAGAGATGTACTGCAGACAAATTATTCACTAAATATTTCTAGCATATCTGCTTATTTTCTTATGAAAGAAAGTGGATAAATACGATGATATAGTATTTAAGTTTCCGTCACATTTTAAGATAGCGAATTAAAAATTACTGTTAAGCTTTCTTCAAAATTACCCTGTGTAGCTGAAGCGAGCACTCCAGTGTGCATTGTTAACTATTTATTCAGTGACGGTAGAAAGGGATGTCTTTAATGCAATGGTGCTCTAATACGTTATCATTCCTGATGATGCAGCTTGTATCTAGCAAGTCTTTTTCTTCCCTAAAATATACTGTTGTTTTGACACAAACAGCTTGGTACACTTAAGGATTTTACTAATAAAACATAATGTTGTGTTAGATATTATGACTGTTGCCACAGCTGAACTGACTTGTCAAATCAATCCTAATATGGCTCCCACAGGCACATAAAAACCTTATTTAGCTATCAGTTATCCTAATCACTTTGTTCAGTTTAAGGGTGCAATACTTCAAGACCAGTTCCTATTTATACATATATGCCCAGCCATTTAATAAAGTCTTGATTTATATAATAAATTCTTGTTTGAAAAAATACTTTAAAGCAGCAGTCTGTTACAACATGTCTCCTCATACCCCCAAATAAATATGTTAATACACACAAACAGGACACTTGCACAGCAAAGGGGAGCCTTACATATGAAACAGATAAATTATCACCGAAGACAAATTTGTCCCTCTGATTATAACTGGGGCTCAAATGGGGTCACTTGATCTGCAAAGTACTGAAAAATCCCAAGGCCTTTATAAAATCTTTGTACAAAGTTTGTTTAGGATAGTCACTCATAGCCTATCTCTACTGTCGACATCCTAATTATATATATGTATACAGGTACAAACATACATGTAAGTACACATGCCCAGAGATACAGACAGAACAGATGACAAGCTTCTTGTTAAACGCTTGCCTGACTATTA